TACTTATTATACACACAAATCAATTCATCACTTGTATATATAGGAAGATGATCTAATTTTTTTTTTTTTTTTTTTTAAAACCCTATTTGCTTAAAAAAATGTGTCACGGATGAATGAAACAATCAAAATTTTTTTTTTTGTTTCCATTAAATAAATAAATTTTTTTTTTTTTTTTTTTAAAACAATTAAACGACAAATATAATAAATAGTAGGCGGATTATTAAATCTACTCAAATCTGTATGTATAAAGTTTAAAAAATTAATTTTTTAAATGTCAGGTCAAATTAATTTAAATTTTTTAAAAATTTTTATACTACTACTATCGATTAATTAAACCATCCCCCTGACCCCCTGCCCTGCTTCCCGCCCCGCCTCCCGCTCCTCCTTCAGTAATTTTAATTTAATTTAATTTTTTAATAAAATGAATTATTTATTCATCATCATCATCATCATCATTACTACTATTTATCATAATAATAATAATAACAATAATAATAATAAATTTTTATGCTATAAACCGCGTGTAATACAAGATTAACGCAAAACAATAACAATTTTTTCTTTATCCATTTTCCTATTATTATTATTATTATTATTTTTCGAAATTTATTTTTTTCTATATGGTTAATTACGATTCATCATTTAAATGACTTTATTAAAAATAAAAATAAAAATAAATAAATAAATAAACTCACCCAATTAATCGCCTTACTTGTACTAGTTGCAGACGAAAAAAAAGGTTTTTATGCTTATACCTGAAATAATAATAATAATAATTTAATTATTATTCTTACATTGAAAAAAAAAAAAATTTTAACTTTATTTATTTGTTATTATTATTATTAGTGACGTGTTTTAAACGTTTAAAAAAACGAAATTACATCATCATCATCATCATCATCGTTGTGGTTGTTGTTGTTGTTTTCGTCATTCCAACTATTTTTGAATCATCTAAAACTATTTTTTTTTTAAAATTTTTTATTACCGCATAAAAAACCATTCATCGATCATTTCTTTTCAAGTTTTGACCTTTTGTTATTATCAAAATTATAAACCTGAATTTCATTTTTATTTTTAAAAAATCTTTAAAAATAATTAAAAAAAAAAAAAAAAAAAACATTTTTCAATCGTTAAATAATAATAATTTTTTTTCCCTTGAAATAAATTTTTAAATTGATTTTTAATTTTAAATCAATGACGGCCACGGATAAAGATTAAAAAAAAAAATTTTTTTTCTTATTTATTTAAACAATTTACTCTCGATTTGCATTCGAATCAAGTTAAAATAATAACGAAATTTATTCCGTAAAACTATTTATCCAATCATAGAATAAATAAACACGCGAAATAAATAAATAAATAAATAAAATCTCGTGCCACGATAAATTTAAATTCTTATTATTATTATTTTTAATCGTGAAGTGAAGACGAAAAAACAAGAACTTTTATTATTTTCACAATTTTTTTATGTTTTTCCGATAAAAATGTTATAAAGTTGTGATACGATAACGAATTAAATCATCGACTGGAGAATAAATATCCTACTGAAATCCTGGATTTATAATTTAAGAGAATATTAATCGATTTGAAATTGGAAAAAAAAAAAAAACGTTACGAGAAGGTATTCCAAAAAGCGACGACGGAAAACCTTCGTTAATCGTTCCAGAACATTCGATTAAAAAACATGTGTGAAAATTTCGAGAATTGTGAGACACGGTGAAGGCCTTCGTTGGTTTCTATTATTATTATTATTTTTTTTTTTTGTATAAAAGACATGTGTGACCCAAATTTTTTATGTCAGGATGTCATTACAAAAAAAAACGAATCCTCTCTCTCTCTCTCTCTCTCTCACTCTCACTCTCTTACCGAAGGTTGAATTTCAAAAATCATGCATGCAAAAAAAAAAAAAATAATAAAATTACGCATTACGTTTCAGGTTTTCGTTTCAAGGTTTTTAATCGACAGCATAAATTTTACACAAAAAAAAAAAAAATTTTAACATTTGACACCCAAAGTCCTATGGCGCAATGACGTACAAGTCGACAGAATGAGGAGTGGGAAGGGGGGAGGGGGGGGGAAAACAACTTTTTTCGCATTTATGCTTCCGCATATCATTCTCATGCAATAAAATTCCCATCATCGAAAATTTTATTTATTCGAATCGGATGGAAAAACGTCAGAGAAAGCTAATAATTAAAAAAATATTTTAAATTTCCCGATTCTCGCACGCACCATCATAAATTATCACTTATCAAACGTAATAAAAAATTTTCTTCATTATTAAATCGACCCATTTACTCTCTACCGGTATGTATGCAATGCCATTTTGATTGAGATACCATTCGAGGTGGAAGTACTAACTGTTAACTACTACTTAAATTTTGTCTTTGTTTACAGCAACTCGTTTAACAACCACAACAACAGCAACAGGAGGAACCTTGAATAAGATTTACTAAATAACTAATATGGATGGTATGAGTTAATTGTACCAATTCACCTTCTAAATTAAAATCACCGATGACGACTACAATTAAAAAACAAAAAAATTCACTACATCTTTTAAACAACAACCAGATCTAGGATGATATAATACAAAGGCGGTGTCAAAGTCAAATTTTTAAAGAAAGAAAGAAAAAAACCTCCCAAAAAAAAAAAAAGGTGTAGAACATGAAAAAAAAAAAAATGCATTAATTACGGTATTAAAAATTTATTACTCGGTTAATATTTGGCATGTTAATTTATGGCTGGAGGTGTAATAATAATAACATGACGCCATAGCAAATTATTTAATAAAAAATTGCATCCCATGTGCATTTACAACAACAAAAAAAAATTTCAATTGCATAATTTCTAATGAACTTTGAACTTGAACAAATTTTTCAATTTTAATTATAAATGCATTTTTTTTTTTTTTGTAACAAAGAGAGATACAAAAAAAACTACAACTCCACCTAAAATTTTATTAGTGTTTTATTTTGTTACTATTTTTTTAAAAATTTTGCAAAGAGTTGGGAAAACTTGTTCCTCCTGGAATAGTTTAAGCATACGAGAATTGTAAGAAGCTATGATGATTCCTCCCCCCTGACACGACACTAAATGGGATAGTCTTTGAATTATAACAATGAATCCTGTTCGGATTCTGGTTTTTACAAAATGATCTAATCGCCATGATGGACAAGAAAGAACAAGGGTAAGCAAATATGGCTCAAGTTTCTTCCTCTACACCTTAATTTTTATTTTCTTTCTTTTAACGTTGACGAATCACCCAAGTTTTTTAGTTGGAAAAGACTCAACAACGCAGCTGTTCAAAAACCTAATCCTTCCTCGGGGGTACCATTGTTCATTGTTTTGGTAAATACGTTAAAGAACGAATTTTTCATCGTGGCAATCGATACTGTTAAGCTCGTGGCGATGTAATTTTGTAAGGACTGCAAGTTTCTTCGGGAATTATGCTCATAATCAGGCATACCTGAAAACCACCGAAAACCTCCGCTTCACCAGGCTCAAAAACTAAAACGCAACCTAATCTGCAAAAGAACCAACGTCCAAAATACCAAACCTTAAATTGCGATGGTTCTGTCGGCCACCTGAACTCAATGAAATACTGCGTAAAAAAATTTTTTTTTTTAATTTCATGTACACGTGTCATTAGATAATACAACTAATACACATCTGCTTCAAATTAAGAACAACGGGGGATGGCCATAATAATAATAATAATAATAATAATTTTAAAAGAAAAATTGCAATAATTGCGTAGATAAAATTTTCCCCTAGTACGACACAAGTTGAAAATTTTCGTATTTTATCTTTCCAACATTTTTAATAAATTACAAAAAAGGGAAAAATAAATTCTTTGGGAAACAAACGAATTTGTTGAAAACCGTATCGTTCTCGTAAACCACCAAAAAACTTTTACAAAAAAACTAATTTTTACCCGCGATAAACTAATCTAAGCGCAATATTGCCGCCTATTCGATTATTATTATTATTATTATTATTATTGGAAACCTAACAAATCAATAATCAACAGGGAATTAAAACGAAAACCTTGTCTTATTTACAAAAATTTCAAATATTTAGTCGATAACGAGAAAAAGCGATTAATGGCGATAAACTTGACGAAAATATTTTTTTTTTTTTTTCCGTCGAAAAACTAACTTAATTAGTCAAACAACAAACCACCAATCGACTTTTATTCTTCAACAGAAGATAGAAAAAAGAAAATTCAAAAACTTATTCGATTCTCATATATATGGAAAAAAATAATCAATTTTTAAATTGTATAAAAAAAGCGCAAACACGCAAAGCGCAAATTCCCAATTATTAGGAATTGAATATTTATATATGAGAATCAAATTTTAAACTCCCCCCCGCCCCCCAATTAAATTTAAAACCGAAAAAAAAAAAAAAAAAACTTACAGTAATTTTCATCCGATATTGAATTATTTTTTAAAAACTTATTAGTACGTTCGGTATACATATATTATGCGGGTTGCAAATTTAACACCTAATAATAAAAATTAAATAATTTTTATTTAATAACATTTTAATATTATATACACACACACAATATTTGTAATATTCTTTTCTTTTTTTAATTACCTGCATGCAATTATATTCAATTTTCATTTTAGTTTCTTCAAATCGACTCTCTAAAGCTAATTTTTCTTTTTTTTTACATTTTCAAAATGATTTAAAACGATGAGAGAAAATTTCTTTAACAATCTATCTTCTCATTTACGTACTTGATGTTGCATTCTATAAATTTAATTCAATAAAAATTAATAAGAAATAATTTTTTAAAGATGGCGTAAGATATTTTTTTCCATGTCATTTACCATTAAAATATAAAAAATTTGGAATAATTTTATGCTTCTTGTTTCAAAAAAAAAAAAAAAAATTTCCAGTTTATCACGATAAATTTACAATAACGATTAATGACAAAGAAGAAGTGATTACAAGTAAAAGTCATAGGAAAATATACTTTAATATAAAATTTATTTTCCCCTTCCACGTCCTCTTCCAGCTCCTCCTGTTTTACTTTTTTTTGTAGGCTTTGATTTTTCTTCAACCTAAATTAAAAAAAAAAAAAAAAAAAAAAAGTAAAAATTTTAAATAATTAAAGATGAAAACATTTTTTTATTAACACTTACCTTTCGTTTTTTTGCAGGAGATGTTGATATCACTTTAAAAAAAGTATCCAGTCTTCCTTGTGTTTGTCCCGTTCTTCCCTTTAATAATTTTTTTGCTCCATTTCTAACTCTTTCTTCGTTAAATAATTTATCACCGCATAAATATTTTACTAATCCTTCAGTATCAGGTTCATTCCATTTTAACTAAAAGGAAATAATAAATAATGAATTTAAGTGTAAAACTAAAATTTGAATAATGCAAATTATAATTTCTTTTTTTACCTCGACATTACTCGCATCGCAAACATCTGGATTGATAAATAATTTTCTTGCTTCTTGAAAAATCCAATCTTCTGGTACCACATATTTACCACTGTCTAAATTTTCTAATATTTTTTCCAGGCTTTTGTGTTTTTTAATTAACTCTATGGCTCTTTTTGGACCGATTCCTTTTATAGAATCACAATAATCGCATCCGAGTAAAATGCACAAATCGATAAACTTAAAAAGAAATAATGAAAATATTTTTTCAAAAAAACGAGGAACAAAATAAAAAGTGGCATAATAAAAGTAAAACAATATTTAAAAATAAGTTTAAATTACATTTTTAGATTTAAAATAAATTTTTATGTTTAGCTTGTGAACAGTAAAACTATTATCTCTTTATATAAAATCAATTCATAGAAATCAAATTTTTTTTTTTTACATTACCTCATTTTGAGTCATTTCTAATTCAGCCAAAACTTTATCTAAATATATTTCTTGAACTGGCATTTTCCTAGCTTCGCTAAATGTTAAATGTCTTAAGATTATATTGGAACCAAAAGTTAAAGCATCCATATCTTCTGTAGCAGTGGCATACACTTTTCCAGCTTTAACCTAATTTTGAATAATAGAGACAAATATTAAATTTAAATATTATTAACAATATGAATAAGTAGAAATTACCAAAGCAGCACATTGAGCCTCGGCTTCGCATGGAGCTTCTATGTAAGGAATTCCCATTAATTTTAAAAGTTCTTTGCATTCAGCTACATGATCTTTGGTAACTTTGACTAACCTACGTGAAAATTTATCAACTTCTTCAGTATTACCTATAATTAAAATTAATCAAAAAATAAAGAAAGGTTGTAATGTTTAGAAATGAAAAGTGAGGTATTTTAAAAAGCTCAATAGAACCTGCCTGATTCTTCTGCTTTAGCCAAAGCTTTTTGTGCTTCTTCCCTTTTCTCAGCTCTTTTACTTAACTCTCCAGATTTCAATTCAGGTGGCTTTCCATCAAACACATACACGGGCTTTATACCATTTTCCACCATTCGAATAGTACGATAAAATGTTCCCATTAAATGAGATGTTGTTTCACCGGAAGAATCTGTTAATTGAGCTCCTTCGCTTCTGACAGCAATCAAAAATTGGTATAACGTCATGGAGGCATCAATTGCAATTTTTCTCCCTATTAAAAATTATTACCATTTCGAGGTTCATTATTTTTTTAAAATAAATAATCATAATCGAATAAATTAAATCTTACCAAAATAATTTTTAATATCACTAAATTTGATTGCGTTAGGTGCTACATCTGATAACAATTTATTTAAACCTAAAATACCCATTTTTTTTATTAATTATAACACAAGCGTTAACTAAAATTGACATGAACTGCTAAACTCCCGCCTTAAGTACTGCGCATGACTGCAAATATGGTTTCCTTTTAGAATATTATTTACTCTATGCTTTCAAAATTTTAAAAGATATAAAAATTTAGCGAGCCAAAAAGACATTACAATTTATTTGCGTGACATTAAAATTTTAAACATTTAAAAATATTAAGCCTTTAATTAAAATAATTTGAAAATTTATTTCATTTTCAATTTTGAAAAAAATTCTACCCCAATTTATTTTCCATTGAATCGATGTATGTCTATGGTTTAATTGACTTGCACTTTTAAACTAAAGGGTCTAGCAATTCAATTTTGTTTTTCGATTTGTAATTATTATTTCAATTGTAAAATGAATATTTTAGCTCCACAATTAAAAGGACATGAAGCTATTCCGCTTCCTGACTGGATGCAAGAAGAAACTACTGGAGTGAGTTATCATATAAATTATTTTACCGGAAAATTTTGTTGTATTGTTTTCTGATCTTGTGATGCAACAATTTTTTTAAAATTAATAATTTTCAGTTAAATCAAACAGCTTTAATTAATGAAATTGTAATTGTTAATATTTACAGACTACAATTATGGCAGTGGAGTATGACGGGGGGGTAGTAATTGGTGGAGATTCAAGAACAACTACTGGAGGTTATGTAGCAAATAGGTTTACTGATAAACTAACAAAAATCACTGATAGAATTTATTGCTGCAGATCAGGATCGGCCGCTGATACTCAAGCCATTGCAGATATCGTTGAATACCATATGAATTTGCAAAAGTAAAATTTTTATATAATAGTAATTTTAAAAAATTCTTACCTAACAAAGTCCTATCAGGAGTAAAATTTAATTATTTTTATTTTTCAGTATTGAGCTAGGGTCTGAATCTCTAGTTAGCACTGCTGCAAATGTATTTAAAGAAATTTGCTACAGTTATAGAGATTCACTTACTGCTGGAATTATAGTCGCAGGTTATGATTCACTGTATGGAGGACAAGTTTATTGCATTCCAATCGGTGGTATGCTTCAAAGGCAAAATGTCGCAACTGGTGGATCCGGAAGTACATATGTTTATGGTTATGTCGATTCTCATTACAAACCTAATATGAGCAAAGAAGAAAGTGTCAACTTTGTAACCAACAGTAAGTTTATATAATTTGCCAAAAAAATATGTACAAAAATGAATAGTTTTCACCTGACTTTAAAACTTGATAATTTTTTTTCGCAGCTGTGGCTTTGGCCATGATGAGAGACAGCTCAAGTGGCGGTGTCATTCGTCTTGGTATAATAGATGAAAATGGAATAGAAAGAAGATTGATTAAGGGTGAAGATATTCCCAAATTTTACGAAGGATAATAATTAATTATTAACCTTTTTGTTTATTTTTTAAGTAATTCATTTATAACTATAATATAAGGTTTCAAGTTTATTAATATTTTTTTCAAAACCAAATCAAACCATTTTTTTTAATTTTTTAAACCCCTTCATAATTATTCAGATAAATTAATTTTTATTATAATATCCAATATGCCAATACAAGTCTATTTAGGAAAAAATAAACGACAAAAATTATTTCCTTTAAAAGCATTCATTTCTATTTGCATTCTTACCGGTTAAATATAGAAAGTATAAAAAATAAAAATTAATTTACAATCGAGTATAAAACTTACTGATTATAAATACAAATGATTTTTAAAATAATATCAAAATTATTTTAATTAATTAATTATTATTTTTTTTGTTTATTGCAATTAATTTATTATTTTTCCTAAAATAAAACTTATTATATACTGTGTGTAACTTGAATATAATAATGATTTGAAATACATACATACTGTTTATATATATATCTTTTATACACAAGGTTCGACATAATTCCCTGGAAATAATCCCGTAATGCCGTCCATAACCCCTTCCCACCATCCGTCGTCATTTTTCTTTAAAACATATATAACAGAACTTTCTTGAAAACTCAGTTCGTCTTCTTTATCGGCATAATAATCGTAAATGGCGACCACTAGATTTAAAAAAAAAAAAAAAAAAAAAAAAAATCTCAAAATTTCTTTTCGATTGGCAAATAATTCGTTAAAAAAATATATAAAAACCTTTTTCTATGTAATTCTTGGGTACCCAACCGGGTAAATGGTGATCATCTGGAACAATGGCCATTCCACGACCCGCCGTCGGTTGACCGAAATGAGCATGTTCTTCTTCGGGAGGAGGTGGTGGCGGAAGTGGAGGCGACACGTTACCAGGTCGATGTTGTTGATGACTGTTTCTTTGATTTGGAAGTGTGTGATGAGAATGATGAGTTGGACCATCGGTCAGAGATAATGGAGATGGAGGAGCTGATTGGCAAAATATTAAATTTGTTTAATGTGAATATTAAAACGTTAAAATAAAACAAATAAATTAATATAAATTAGATATTGAAAAATACCTGGCATTGACGAATGATGATCTCCGAGAGAATGATTCATAGGATAAACCATTGCTTGAGGAGGTTGATGATGAGCATGAGGTAAAGTGTGAGATGCACCGATGGACATGGGAAGTGTAGAATAACCTGGACCCCTTTCTCTTCTGGGATGTCCCAATGGATAATTTGGAGCATAATGACTCGGAACCTGAAATTTTGTTAAATTTTAAGAACTTCTTAATCAACAATAAAATGAAAAGATTTTTAATTATATTACCTGAGGTGGAGCAACGGCAGGAGGTGTTCTGTATTCTCTTGAACTTTTACTTAAAGTATTAACCCCTGTTCTCATTGCTTGTGGAGGTGTAGGAGGTTTCGTGGTTGGTGCGGGACCCAACTGAACTGCAGAACCCTGACTTATAGTTCCGACTGATTGTATACTGCTTTGACTCGGTCCCCTTTGCTTAGTTCTGGTGGTATTCAAACCAGAAGCAAATCTTACACCATGACCAATATCGTCTAATACTGTAGTATAAACATAAAAATTTAAATTGTAAAAAATTAAAATTATTTCGCCAAAAGTTATCGAATAAATTTTCATAAGGAAAGCGATTGTAACATTAAATTTACCATTATAATCAATGGGTTTGCGATTGTATTTGATAGGCTTTTCAGGGTTGGCTGGAGCAATTATCTTGTATTGCCTTGATGTAGTTTTAGTAGCAGTTAATATACCAATTTCTCTTCTAGCAACTTTTTCTTTATGTATCATCACAGTCTTAAAAAAAATTTACAAATGTTAAAAAGGAAAAAACAAAATAAAAATTTTTATGTTTTGAATTTACCTGAGCTATATGATTCATTTGACTTTCCATTTCATCCAGTTGTGCAGTTTGTAAATCTAACAGTTGTAAAAAATTATAAGCCAAAGTATTTATCTGATAAGCAACACTTGCCAGTGACTGAGTCGTATAATTTTTTGTCTCTTCAAGTGCAGCTCTTTTATTTTCCGATTGAAAATAATTTCCTTCGCAATATTCAGCCACGCGTTCTATTTTAAAATTATTTAAACAAGTTAAAAAAAAATTAAGTTGAAAGATTTTTTTTAAAAAAAAAATTTTTTTTAAACAAATACCTAAATTAGTATGACTATCAGCTAAATTGCTTCTTCCTTCCGGAATTTCTGTATTGAGCAAAATCGTTAACTCAGCCATTGTATCTAAATCACTCCTAATATTTGAATCCTGTAGCGAATCCACTTTTTCTATTAAAAAAATTACAATAATTGGAATAATAATCTTAAAAGTAATCAAAATACTCAAATACTTGTCAAATAAAATGGCGACATTCAAACTACCTGATCTAAGTTAAATTTCCTTCTACAAAAAAAAAAAAAAACCTAATAATTTACTAAAAAAAATTCAAAAACCTTTTTGTTTTTAAAACAAATTATTTATAATTATCTTCTTTTTTTTTAGACTTTTTAAATCAATTAATTTATCATCTTCTGGCAATAAAAAAAACTATAATCTAATCTCCTTTGAAATGTAATTAAAACCCATTTGTCTAGAACCACGAACTTGAATGTCATCATTAGGCGCCAAAAATTTATAAGCATTTTGAAAATTGAATAAAGTGAGTTATGTAATAGTTCTGGAACAGTTAATCACTTTTTGCTTTTTTTTGTCAAGAAATTATTATTTTAAATAGTTAATAGTATTTTTTAAAGCACATTATTAATTTTTTAAGCTGAAACTTAATTGTAAGTAGAAAAACCTAAAGTATTGAAAAAATCGTTTTAAATTTTAATGGCGACACCTTTTGGAATTCAACTTCATTGACGGTTGTAAAATTCTAATTTATTTTTCATGAAATAAATCAATTACATTAATCCACGACAATTATAAAAATTCAATTTTAAAAAAATTCCATCACAAATAAATAAAACGCAGTTTTTAACATAATCAGCAGCGAAAACATATTTCTAAACAAGAGCCTAAAATAAATTTATTATTATTATTATTATTATTATTAACGTTAAAATACATTAATTTGATGAGGTCAATAATAATAATAATAATAATGTTCATTTAAAAAATTGAATTTTTATATAATTTTGAATGGAATCGTTATTCGATTTACTAAACAAACATAAACAGTTGGGGGTAACAGAATCAATGTCAAAGGTTAAAAATAATTGTCAAGATAAAAAAAAAAAAAAAAAATTAAATTTTCCTAATACTTTGAAAGAGAATCGTAGATTGATTTTTCTTCTACTATTTGAAAAGGGCATCACGTGACGTGTTATGTATGATAAGTTCATTAGGTTGTAACATGTCTCAACAGTTGAATTGAATAAAGATTATGATGATGGAGAGGGTGTACGACGACAAAATCATAACTAAAATATATCAAGAATTTCCCAATACGAAAGGTAAAGTACTTTACTCGAGTAGCAAAAACTACTCTTTATTTTGTATTTGTTTTTTTTCACTAACGCTCTAAATCTCGCCATTTTCTCAGATGTCTGTTATTTGGATCACGCGGGTGCCACTTTATACTCTGAAAAACAAATAAAAAATCATTTAAACGATTTGTTATCGAATGTTTATGGTAATCCGCATTCGTTGAATCACAGCAGTAAGCAAAGTTTGGATTTGATCGATCAAGTTAGACAAAGGTAAAAAAAATTTTCATTTATTTAACCATTTTACCCTTTTGCTACCTAAAATTATCATTTACTCGCAGGTGTTTTAAAAAAAAAGTGACGTAAATTTTTGGTCGTAGGATTCTTAAATTTTTTCACGCGACACCCGATGAATACAGTTTGATATTTACCTCGAGTGCGACGTCAGCCATTAAATTACTTTTCGAAAATTTTAACTGGAATTCAAATTTCGAAGATGAAGAATTTTACCACGACACAGAATCGGATTTCTTTCAAAACTCATCGCAGTCGACGCCGACAGCACAAAGTGCGTTTGTATACACTCAAAGCAATCACACGTCCGTGGTGGGCGGTCGAGAACTCGCACAAGAAAAAAACATACCATTTTATTGTTTGGGCTACGAAGAAGCAAACACTCTAATGTCCGACCATAATCACGTTCCTACGAACGAAACTTATCCGACGTGCAATTCCATATTTGCTTATCCTGCACAATGTAATTATTCTGGGAAAAAATATCCGTTGGAGTGGATAAAAAAAGTTCACACAGGAATCCTGGACTCGTATGGAAATTCAAATAGAAAAAGACATTCGAAATGGTTTTGTCTCCTAGATGCGGCTTCGTATTGTTCCACAAGCGATCTCGACCTTTCTCAAGTTCATCCAGACTTCGTATGTATCTCGTTTTATAAAATATTTGGTTATCCTACAGGTCTAGGAGCTCTATTAGTGAGAAATCAAAGCAGTTACGTATTGAAAAAGAAATATTTCGGAGGAGGAACTGTTGAAATTGCATTACCCTTTCAAAATTATCATAAGAAACGGAAAACTCTTCACGAAAGGTAAATTTTTCCGCTCTGACGTCATATTATACAAACGTAGGATGATAATGATTGCAGGAGTGCACGATGTCAATAATTGTCAGTATGGATTATAAACTGCAAAAAAGTTTTTTTAAAGTTGTTCACTGACGAAGACGAAAATAATTTATGATTTTATTCGGAAAATTTTTTTTTTAAAAACAGGTTCGAAGACGGTACAATACCATTTTTAACCATCATTTCATTAGAACACGGTCTCAATACGTTAAATCGTTTAAATTTGAACATGAAATTGATATCGAATCACGTGTTTGAATTGGCGAGATTAACCGTTAAAAAATTAAAATCCTTAATTCATTGGAACGGGACTCCAGCAGTAGAAATTTATGCTGATACGAATTATGATGACGTCAGAACTCAGGGAGGCATCGTAAATTTCAATTTGAAAAGAGCCAATCATCAATATATAGGTTTCGTAGAGGTAAAGAAAAAATTAATTTTTCTTTTATTTCCGGTGAAATTTTCCTTTTTTTGTAAAAAAAAAAAAAATATTCTTTCAGGTATTGCACATGGCGAATCTGAGAAAAATATACATAAGAACAGGTTGCTTTTGCAATCTCGGAGCTTGTCAAAAACACTTAAACCTGAGCGATGCCGATTTGAAACTATACTATCAAGTAATTGTTACGATAAAAATTATACCTTAGGTTTAAAAGAGCGAGTGTATAGGAATTAAAATTACCCTTTTTAGGCCGGACACGTTTGCGGGGATGCAAAAGATCTCATTGATGGTAAACCCACGGGATCCATAAGGGTATCTTTCGGGTACATGTCAACCGAAAACGACGTCAACAAACTCGTCAACATGATAAAGGAAACGTTTGTCGAATTAACGCCACAGATAATGCCCTACAAAAGAAAAATCACGAGTGAGATTTGCAACAATAGTTTAAATAATAATAATAATAATAAATTTTCATTCGGTTAATTTTAAAAATAAACGTTTTAGGTAACGGATCTGGGAAATACCTATCGAAAATATTACTCTTCCCGATAAAATCATGCGGAGCCATGGAAGTAACTTCGTGGAAATTAAATTCGAAAGGATTGGAATACGATCGAGAATGGATGGTTACGACAACCAGCGGTGTTTGTTTGACGCAGAAACAAGAACCAAAACTTTGCATGATTTGTCCAAATATCAACCTGAAAAATCAAACGTTAACTTTAACTTTTGGTGAGAATAAACATTTCTCGTTATGATAAAAAAAAAAAAATTTCTTATAATCGCAATCGCATTTTCTTTTCAATTTCAGATAAAAAAGATGCCATAACGTTTCCCATCGATTTTGATGATAATAATAATAATCAATACGGTTTATGCGAGAGTAAAGTTTGCAATAATTTTATCCAGGCATACGATTGCGGAGAAAACGTTTCCCAATGGTTGTCGGCACATTTAAATATCGAAGGCCTAAGATTAGTCAAACAATCCAAAAACGACAACAGATCATCTAAAAAAAGTAAAAATGTTAAAAATGAAAATTCCGTTAAATTATCACTAACGAATCAAGCACAATTTTTAATGATAAATAACGAAAGCGTGAGGTGGTTACACGAAATTATAAATCAAGATGGCGATTTAGATTTTGTGAGTTTTCCCCCGACCTACGAAACGTTTTCCCCCATCTACCCCTAAAATTTTCTTTTAATTTTTAATTTAATTTTACACATTTCAGAACAACGTTTCCAATAGATTCCGTGGTAATTTTTACATCGAGGGAGGAGTCGAATTTTCCGAAAACAATTGGAAAACCGTATCCATCGGAAGTGTTAAATTTAAAGTAATTAATCCGATAATCCGAACAAAAAACAAAACCTGAAATATATGTTAAAATTATTTTTTTAAAATTCAGGTTGAAGGACCTTGCGGAAGGTGTCAAATGATTTGCATTGATCAAAAAACGGGTGAAAAAAACCGGAAACCGTTAGTCGCATTATCCAGAGCTTTAAGTGGTAAACTTCAATTTGGTATTTACTTGAGTCAACAAATACAACCGGAAATCAAAAAAGAGGAAATCGTTATAAATGTGGGTGACGTAATAGAAATCACCGAATGATGAAAATCAATTTTCATTTTAAATCTTCTTTTGTACATAATAATAATAATAATAATAATAAAATCCCTTGTCGTTTTGGATTAGAGAATTTAATTTGTTGTTAATTTATTATTTGTGAATAGAAAAAAAATTTTTTGTTGAGCGTTTTTTTTTTTTTAAATTATTTTTTTAAATTCTTATTTATATTAAATCACGTGATTGATAATAAATAATACAAAATGTAAAAAAAATTTTATGTAATATTATTAAATATATTATTAATCTTCATTGAAAAAAATTTCTTTTATGACTTTAACAAAACGATTTTTCATTTTCCTTTTAAAATCATCGTACCATTTGAGTATTTTTTTCCTCCTTTTTATTTTTATTTCCAAACTTAATTTACTTTCGGATTCTAATACGGAATTTAAATCGTTCCAATCATCGATGAATATCAAAGGAGCATTATGTTCTTTTAATAATCTCAGTGGAGAATTTTTCCCGCTGTCGCAATCGCCCGGAGTGACGACATTTTCGACGATGGGTACTGTTCCCAGGGATAACGCTTCGTAAATCCTGTAGCATTCGGTATTTTGACCGACCGGATTTAAAGTCAAATCCGAATCGGATAATTTTTTCAAATACCTACTCATGCTTTCATACGTTTCGCCGGGTACCCAATTATCTCTCGATGCGACGAAACATTTATTTGATTTTTTTAATATTTGAGTCAGCAGGACACGGGTAGAATTTTTATACACGGTACCCATAAAACTGCAGAGGTGTTGTCGGGCAACGTCGACGTTGACGTGATTTAATTTTAATAGTGGAAAACCCCTGTAGGTGGCAACGCCGAGAGGCCATTGATAAAATTCACGATTGTCGATTAATTTGCAATCGTAAATTAAAAAAACAAAATCAACGAGTCCGCCACGTGTTTTGAGATATTGCAATATCCAATTATTGTCGCATTTTTCATCACCCAACAGAACGACTCCGACATTTTTTAAATTTTTAAAATGTATCAAATAATCGAGCCAATTTTTAGAAAATTTTATTTTCACGTCGTCTTTACCATTTAAAACCAATATTAAATTTTTCACGCTTGTAGGTACGGTCGTCTGAACGATTCCCGGACCTGATCGAAATCGAAAAAGTAAATTTTGTATTTTTATTTCTCCATGTTTAATTAATCCGTTTGCGTACGTCGTCGAATTTCCATCCAATATGTGATTCCATAAATAATCTCCTATCGATGCTTTTCCCCAAATTTCAATTTCGTGTTTCGAATATTGTTTTTTTAAATTATTATTATTTGATTTTTTCTTTCTCAAAAATTTTAAATCAACTTTAAAATTATACATATCTTCAAAACTATTTTCGGCATTGTTAAATAATTTCACTTGACCCATGTCGATTTTTTCAATTTTAACGCTCTTAGTCTTTTTTAAAAGTGTCGAAGATTTATTGAACGAATTCTCAGCAGTTAAATAAATGTTGTATGATAAACATATGAGAATAATAACCAAACACATCAGGAGAATTTTTATGAAAAATTTCGATGAGTACCTCATGACTAAGTAAAGCTTTCCAAATTACAATACCTTAATACTTTTTTCCTGTAATACTACTTTAATAGGTAAGAACATAACTCATACCTTAAAAAATTAGACAATTTGTTATAGGCTGTTGCTTTTCTATTTTTCTAGGAAATTCTCCTGACTCGACTTCCTTAACCACTTCGAGTACACTATCGAAATCTGGAAATGCCATTGTTCTTAATTTTGAATAAACTAATTCTCCATTGATGGATACTTCGAATGAACCTAAAAATCAATAAAAATTTACTAATTAAATTGTTTTCTATAGAGTAGAAATTATTATTATTATTATTATTTTATTTCAAATTGTTTACCAGGGCTTCCATTTTTAGATGCGACATCAACTGAAGGACAAGTGCTTTTAATGGCAGCAGATAATTCTTCAAATTTATTTAAATATCCACAAGCAGAACTGAAAGTAGAAAAATTATGACACATAACATAACTTAAACATAGTTTTTTTTTTAATATTAAAATTAATTATTGATTTCTAAATTAACGACAACAATTAAAATTAAAACTAACGATTTCATTTTGCAATAATTAAATGGATTATATTTAAAAAAATTTTTACCTAAACTTTACAAAGCAACTTAATTATATGATCTTTTAGCATAAAACATGAAGTTTTGATTAGAAAATAATAATAATAATAATAATAATATTCTCTTTCCTTTTCTTACCTAATTTTCAAATCGCCCAAATAAATCCATTTTCTGTAATACTATACTCATAAATTCTATCCGAATCGATGGAGGCAATAAATTTTTCAAAATTGTCGTTTCTTTTTAATTCTATTCTATGTTTTATCAGAGAAGAAATGGAATCATTTTGTCTACATTGAAAGTATTCTTATTTATATAAATATATAAAAAAAAAAAATTTGTTTTTCCCGATTAATTATTATCATGAAATAAATTTGAGTTTTAAACTGTTAAAATCTTAATTTTACCTTCGGTCGAAAATATAACAGCAATATCATATTCTTCTGCATATTTTGAAAATTTCTCAACCCAAAATTTTAAATAAAAATCTGTTTTTTTAAAATTTTTATTTTTTTCCAAATCGCTCCAATAGTAAAATGTTAAACTATCGATTATAATCATTGATGATTTGGAATCGGTTGCAAGAATTTTTTCTATAGAATAATAATTCATTTCTAATTGTAAACTTGTATAAGTTTTTAATATGATTAAATTCTTTAATGAATTATTAACAATATCTTTAACATTATCTGGATTACTCAAAATTTCAATTGACTCTATTAGGAAAAAATAAATGTTTAGAATTGGGTAATAAATTAATTTTTGTAATTTAATAAATGAAATGAATCATTTTAAACTACCTGATTTAGTTAGGCATTCGCAAGTTTGAGAAATAAATTTTTCCATTAAACATACTAGTTTTAAAATAGAAATTCCATGACTGGTATCAATTAAAATAACCCCGACGTTAAGACCCCCAAGAAATACGCCATTATAATACTTTGGTAAAAGTGATTTAGTTAAATATTTTAAGAGCAATGTAGACTTTCCTATAGCAGATTCACCCGTTAATTGAACAATATCTCCACCTTTAAGACCATTAGGAAAGAGAATATTATCCAAATCCGACAAAGAGGGTTTTTCGTTAAATCTATACAACAATTGAAACCCGGATTCTGCACTTATCTTATTCATATTTTCAATGTCTAGCTTAATGCGATAACCAAATATACATTCAATTTTTAATGTTTTAAATAAAGAAAAATTTATTTTAACAATAAAAATTTAAACGTACCAAAATTCAACGTCTACTTTAACAGTCATACTCTGTTGTAAAAGTTTTTTTTTATAAAAAAAAAAAAATTCAAATTACTATCACATATAACTTTTTTAACAAAGCTATTAAAAATGTTTAAAGACACGACAAAAGCTACGCCATTAATTTCCCGCCAAAAATTTCAGTTAAACTTAAAAATTATCATTAATAATAATTTTTATATAATGGCGGTGGAAAATAATTTATATTATAAAAAATGGAATATAGTTAAAGAACAATTAATTGCCCTTAGCGTAACGAGCAAAACCGTTAAAATTAATGATGATTTTAAAAAGTTATTAGACCAGGTATAACCTAATTTTAAAAAAAATTAAATTTTTTAATTATTTTTAATTTTCATATACAATATTTTATTTTTAAGGATATTTCTCGTAAAAATATAAATTCACAAATTGTTGTAACGATTTGTTACTTTCTTTTGGGATTTATTGATATTGAAACAAGAGACAAATTAATAAAATGGCCTTTGATTAATATACAAACTCATACTAAATTTAGAAAAGGTTTGTCGACAATGGTTGTAAATTTTCAAGAAAAGTATCCTTGGGCAAACATTAAAAAATTACCTGGTTAGTATATGAAAATAATTTAAAATAAATTATAACATAAATATTATTTACATTTGATATTTTTTATAGAATCATATTTTGTTAATCCTCACGGATGTCAGAAAAAGTTTTTAGACTTTGTATTAAGATTAACAAATTTAGCAATACACCTCACCTTAAACGATTCCAAACTTTTAATTATGCATTCTGGTAATGGAGTAAATACTAAAGACATTGACATTATGATGAATGTTGTATCGAAAGCAAAACAAAATGAAGAAGAATCAATGTTGAATTATGTGTTTCCAATTGATCAATTCGAGTTGATAAAAAAGTAAGTCGATTGTTATTTAAAGTCATAAAACTCACAAATTATACATAATAAAATTATTTTTTTTACCTTTAAAGTGAAGTAACAGATAAATGTATTGCATTAAAACAAGAAAATGATGAACTTGAACAAGAAGTTAATAAATTATTAAAAAGTTACAACAGTGAAGACTTTCATACATCATCGGGAAAAAATTTAAATATAAATGGTATGTATTTAAAATATTTTGCTTGTAAACTAAAAGTTTCACACAAAAATATTTTTCCCCCCCCTGATATTTATGTTACAGATTTAAAAAATATAAAAGAAGAAAAATTATCAAAATTAAATTTGATTAATCAAAAACTTTCTCATTATTATAAAACAACCGATGAATTCTTATCAAAATTAAATGGAATAAAAAATCCAATTAATTTAAATGCTGATGATTTTAACCCGAGTAATCATCCATTAAACATAACATCTGAAACACTAAGAGTTTGCGAACAATTACATGATTTATATAAAAATTTAATATTTTCAAATCACAATGATAACAATGATGATAATGATGATGAATATTTATATGAAGAAATAGTTAAAGTTAAAAAAATGTTAAAAGAAGAAGTTGAAACTTACAAAACGTTTTTAAATTCATATGATGTTAAAACATAATTGATTGATTGAACACATTGTCAAACAATCAATCCACAATATGTCTTCATAATTCTTAAACGATTATTAAAATAAAATCTAACAAATTAAATAAATATTTGTAATGTGTTATATATATATATTACGTCACAGGCCTTACAATTTCGCTTGCACTTATTTTTTTTATTAATTTAAAACTTATGTAAATTATGTAAATTTTTCATTAATAAATCCTTCTTTTTTTTTTCTTCCATAAGTTATTTTTTAATAAATAAAAATATATATATATATTTCAATTATTTTTTTAATGTAGTAATCAATAAAATTTAATTTAATTAATTTTTTTGGATATTTATTTATTTATATATAAATCGTCGCGTTCATTTTCAAATCATTATTATTATTAAAATTTCATAAATTTTATTTATTTATTTATATATATATATATATATATTTATAAATTATATTGATATATATTTTAACAAATAATATTAATAATAACGACGATTTTCATTAATATATATAATGGAAGATGCAAAAATTTATTAAAATAATATTATTTAATAATAATAATAATATACATATTATTATTATTATTATTATTATATACCGTTACGAAAAATACAATCGTCAATCGTTCAATAAAATATATATATTTATATTTTTTTTTAATAAAATAATAAATATTTATATATATATATATATATATATATATATATAATAAAATATTTTAATCTAATTAACATAAAATAATTTTTTTTTTTTTTGTGTGTGTGTTGCTCAGATAATGATGATGATAATGATGATGGTCGGTACTCATTGGAAAAATTTAAATTTTTAATTAATGCGGGTAAAAATTTTTTTAGATATGATTCATTGTTGCCATATAAAAATTATTATTATTATTATTATTTTTAACCGTAGTAGTCGGTGCAACTATTATTATTATTTATCTATTTTTTAACGTGTTAATAATTTTAGTGATTTATATATATAATCTACTCCGATAAGTTTTTCGTTTGTTTCCCCTCCCCTTCTCTCCCCTCTTCCGTCCCCTCCCCGTTTATCGGTGTCATGAATAAAATGCTGCCTAAATAGAATTTTTTTTTTTTTTTAGCAAAATTAATAAGTATTAAAATAATTTAATTTAATTTAAATGAATAAATTATTGTTATTATTGTTGGTATCATCATTATTATTATTATTATAATTAATTTTTCATAACTTTTTTTTAAAACGTTTTTTCTGTTCCCTGTTCTAAATGTCGTTTTTTTTTTTTGTTTTACATTTTCCGATTTTCCTCGTGAGCTTTTTTAACAATGGCCAATTTCGAATGCGAATCGGATACTTTTAAACCTGAATAGGGGGGCTCTCTCGTTCCGTGTAACATGAGTGTCCATTCTTTAAGGAATCCTATTTGAGGAGATTCGGAATTGAAATTTACCTGTAAATTATTATTATCATTATTATCATTTACCTATGGCGGTGAGAGAACGAGTGAACGATGGTGCGGGTATCACCTCGAGTATCCAAGTCCCTTGCGGATATTCTCCCCAGCTGTGTGTCGTCATAAACGGCCATTTTATGAAACCGTCACGATGATCGTCATCTTTGCTCCTCTTGCTCAGGATCATGGACCTTAAAAAATAACAAAATTTATTCGGGTTGACTCATGTCGTCGCGTGATAAAGGGTGATGACGTCAATGATGAGGACTACCTTGTTCCCATGGGCGATGTTAGAAACATTTCAACGTCTCCTCGTCTCGAAGCGTTCAACGTGATGACTGCTTGTACGTGTTCCAGGTACGATACTTGCGTGTCACTTCCCAGGCAAGCTGTCGTTTTAATTTTTAACCGAAGTGAACGACTGCTGTGTATTTCGCTGCGAAAAAAAAAAAGTTTGTTTAATCTTGTCTCGTTTAAATTGGGGTAGCACAATTGCCGAATGACTCCCAGTGACAAAAATCAATTAAAAGCAAGTTTTCCTTGGATTTTTCGGTGGGGGGAGGGGGAATCATGAATATTATATAACTCACTAAGCTCCGATTAAATTTCCGGCTTCGCAGTGATATCTCGCCGGCACCATTTGCCACTGTTTGGCAAGTGCCACCATAGCTCCAGCGTCTAAAACACCGAATCCGAATAAATGATTAAATTCCAAACCCACTCCGTTCATGGTCCAGTGAAATCTTCCTTTGGCATCGAACAGTGAATTTCTCTTCGACGTTAAAACCGTGAGATGTTGTATGTCTCTCCATGTAAGAGCGGGACTAGAAAAAAAAAAAAAAAAAAATTCGAAGGTGCCGAAAGGTGTGGACAATCATCCATCTCGACGTCAGTCAAACTCACTTTGCTTCTAATGCCAGTGCGAATACTCCAGCAGCTTCCGGAGCGGCCGCGGAAGTTCCAGAATGTGTCGTCGTGCATTTTCCGTACAAATCCGTCGTTGCCACTCCCGTGTTCGGATCTTTGGCTCCGTTGCTAAATGTCGACGCGAGGGTCGAAGAACAACTTTCGTCGTAATGAGCGTTCTGACCGTCGTTTATCGCGCTGTTTATGGATATCGTCCACATGCTCGCTGCATATCCGTCGCAATTGCAATCGTCGTCTTCTCCGCCGTCTCCGCTTGCCCACACGTATATGTTACCCAAACCGTTTCGACCCTCGTTCACTCCTCGCACTATGGCTCTCATTGTCGCATTTCTGGGTCCGTCGACGGTTTTACCATCATCCGTCGGACCCCAAGATGCACTGTATATGTCGATTAAA